TTTGAAAAAAAAAAAAAAGAAATAACAAGAAAAAGGGTTTAATTTTTTGAGAAAATGCCAAGGAAAATTCCGAATTCGGATGGAAAAATGGGAGCAAGAAAATGCAGAGTGAGGAAAAGGGTTTCCTCTTCGTCATCTTCCTCGGCATTACATCAAAGCTGTCGATTAAAGCGAGCTTTTTCGGTGGGGAAAAAGGCGGGATCGAGCACGCCCGTGCCAAGATGGAAAACGACGATGGGGTCGTCAGAAAATGACGGGCCGGTCGAGCATTTAGTGGCGACGAATAGAGGCCAAAGGGCTAATAGTAGATCGACGGTCTCGGCCAGAAAATTGGCCGCCGTTCTTTGGGAGATTGATGGTTTGAGTGAAGTAGGACTTTTTAGAAAAGATAAGGATTTTGAATGTTCTAAATTGGGATCAAAGGCTCTTGTTTTGACTGATCTATCAAGTAGTAATGTTTCTGAGGTGGGATTGCAATTTAGTTGTTAAAAAAAAAATGTTTTTTTTTTTTGAATAATTGTTTTGAATTCTGTATGCAGATTGTGTTGATTTATCCTTTTCCTTGACATTTTTTTTTTTATTTTTTTTTCGGAAATTTGCTGCAGATGATGGATTTATCAAAAGCAGGCAGCCATAGAGGAACATCAGCAGCAAGCTCTCAGAAAACTGTGCACACTGATTGTGATCTGGGCAGTGGCAACAAGTCTATCCATGATTGTTTGGTTGAGGTATCATTTGTGAATAATAATTAATTTGTTTTAAAAGTACACTGATTATTCTGTTAAAATGAGCTTTCTTCAGATGGTTTGAGCATTTAATTGTATGATTTTTATGGTGGAAAATTGTTTTCTGGTTAATTTGAGATATGAGGCACACATCACAAATGCTGATGTTAGGCTGTCTAACCGTTAGGAAGTCGTACCGTTCTTACGAAAAAGATGCGTACTTATATTATGAAATTTCACATTTTTGTTTATAAATTATTTTAAAGTATGACTGTATATTTGTTGAAGAGTAGGCTATTATTGCTTTTGGAGCTACTCTTGAATAAGAAATGGACAAAAATGCTCTGTTAATAGAATGGAGCAAAGAACATGGCTTGGTTTTCTTATGGGCAACCATATAGTTGTGTCATAAAACTATAACTTTTTTCAATTCTGTGTCATTTCAAGAAAACGGTTAAATTTCCCGTGTTCTCTTGTTCGTTTTTCGAAACAAAGATCACATTTTTTAACTTCAAAGTTCAAACGCTAAAAATGCAGATTGATCATGCACAGAATCCGGCTCGAAGCCCATCTAAAGGATCAAAGAACCGTCTCAAGGATGTCTATAATGGCCTCGTGACCTCGAAAGAATTACTCAAAGTGATGGCTCGGATTTCCCGTCACGACACGACGGGCGTTTCCCTTTTCTCGGCCCTCAAATTCGAGCTCGACCGAGCCTGCGCCCACGTCGCGAAATTAATCCAAGAACACAACCAAAACCGGACCGAAATCGAAACCCTGTTCAAACACTTTCAAGAAGAAAAAGCCCTCTTGAAATCAAGACATCACGACAAAATCCGTACAGCTATTTCATCCGTAAAAATCGAGCTCGAAAAGGAAAAGAAGCTGAGGATACAAACCGAACGACTCAACAAGAAACTCGGGAAAGAATTGTTCGACACCAAAGAGTTGCTTTCGAAAGCGAATAAGGACCTCGAGTGTGAAAAACGAGCCCGCGAGATACTCGAGCAGGTGTGTGATGAGCTGGCACGTGGCATTGGCGAGGACAAGGCAGAAGTCGAGGAAATAAAGAGGCAATCGGCAAGAGTTTGCGAAGAAGTTGAAAAAGAGCGGGAAATGCTTCAAGTGGCGGATAGTTTGCGCGAGGAAAGGGTTCAAATGAAGCTCTTGGAGGCTAAGTATCAATTCGAGGAGAAAAACGCCATAGTTGACGAGTTAAGGCACGAGCTCGAATCGTATTTAAAGTCGAAAAAAGGCGAAGAGGGAGAAACCAGCTCACCAAGCTATGACAAGATTAGGGAGCTACAGAGATATTTACACGAGACTTTGCCGTGCACTTACAAATACGAAGATAAAGGGAAAGATGATATTAAAATAGTGAATAAATTCAAGAATGAAGATGATGAAGATGAAGAAGATGATGATGATGATGATGATGATGATGATGGTGATAGTGACTCGGGTGATAGTGATCTTCACTCGATCGAGCTAAATGTTGATGATGTAAGCAAGAGTTTTAAATGGGGTGATGCCGTGAGAAACCGAAGGAGTAGAAGAATTAGAAAACCGGTTAGAGAATGGGAATTTTCCAGCTCGAGAGAAAATGGAGAGGATTTGGATGAGATCGAGAGGTACAACATGATTAAGGATCTAAGGGACCATATTGTTTCGGGTTCTAAGATGAGTTCAACTCTAGACTCGGTTAGTCCGAGTCGGAACGAGTTGGGTCGAGTGGGGGTTGTTTGCTCAAAGGATCAAAATGGGGTTATATGCCATGGCTAACAATTTTTTTTTAAAATTTATTTTATTAAGCTTGCATGAAGAGGAACTATATTGATGGCTTATCATATATTTTAAAGTTTTAGAGTGTAAACAGAATTTTGTTTTTCTTATAGTTTTACTTAAAAAGTTCGAATTGTATAAATTATGATGATGCTACAGCAAACCAATCATGGAAGTTGTTTCAATATCTATTTATGCCTATTAAGTATATAGCATTCAAATTCAAATGTTTGTTCTTTTATTATTATGCCTATATAGTATTAAAATTCAAATATTTGTTCTTTTATTATTATGCCTATATATTATTAAAATTCAAAGTTCTAGAATCAAATAATGTAGCCGAACGTGTTCAAATTTAAATGTAGAGACATATTAGAATCAAAATGAAAGGAAAAAAAAAAAAAAA